TAACCACAGCCAGTTCCCCACATTCCCACGAGCAGAGAGCGGATCAGAAATCTGGGGCGGTTGAAGCCTCGGGACTTCTTTCCTTTGACAAGCTCTCTGCTTCAATGGAGCTTTTTAAGCAGAGGTCGGATGGCCATCGGGCAGAGATTCTTTCACTGCGATTCCTGCATGGCGGGGGGGTTGGACTAGATGACCCCTGGGACCCATTCCAATTTGACAATTCTAGGCCTCAGTTTGCATGGGAACTAAAGGGCTACGGGAGAACTGGTTTACAGGGGGACAAGGTGGTCCCTAATGATGATGATGATGATAGTAATAAAGTTTATTTATACCCCGCCCTCCCGGACCAGAGCCTGGCTCAGGGCAGCTAACACCAGTAAAATTACAGTAAAAACATAATGGGGGGGGGGGGAACGACAATTTAAAATACAGGTTAAAATGCAGCCTCATTTTAAAAGTAGCCCATAGATCAAAACCATAAGGGGAGGGAGACATAAGGGTCAGACTGAGTCCAAACCAAAGGCCAGGCGGAACAGCTCTGTCTTGCAGGCCTTGCGGAAAGATGCCAAGTCCTGCAGGGCCTTAGTCTCTTGTGAGAGAGCATTCCACCAGGTCGGGGCCAGTACTGAAAAGGCCCTGGCCCTAGTTGAGACCAATCTAACCACCTTGCAACCTGGGACCTCCAAAATGTTGTCATTTGTGGACCTTGAGGTTACCTGGTTCCTATTAAGCCCTTTAGGCTTTCATACCTCAGCATTGATACCTTGAACAAAGCTAGGAGATTTCCTGGCAGCCAGCAAGGAGCTTTCAGTAACTGCATAATGGATGCAGAGTTGTTCTGGCCAAAAGCTGTGTTGCTTTATTCTGCACGAGCTGCAGTTTCTGAACCAACTTAATGAATAATATTAACAACAGCCCATCTGGTTGGGTTTCCCCAGCCACTCTGGGCGGCTTCCGACAGGAGATTTAAAATACATTAAAACATCAGTCATTAAAAAACTTCCCTAAACAGGACAGCCTTCAGATGTCTTCTAAATGTCAGGTAGTTGTTTATTTCTTTGACATCTGGTGGGAGGGCGTTCCACAGGGCGGGCGCCACTACCAAGAAGGCCCTCTGCCTGGTTCACTGCAACTTGGCTTCTCTCAGTGAGGGAACCGCCAGAAGGCCCTCGGCGCTGGACCTCAGTGTCTGGGCTGAACGATGGGGGTGGAGACGCTCCTTCAGGTATACTGGACCGAGGCCGTTTAGGGCTTTAAAGGTCAGCACCAACACTTTGAATTGTGCTCGGAAATGTACTGGGAGCCAATGCAGATCTCTCAGGACCGGTGTTATGTGGCCCCGGCGGCCACTCCCAGTCACCAGTCAAGCTGCCACATTCTGGATTAGTTGTAGTTTCCGGGTCACCTTCAAAGGTAGCCCCATGTAGAGCGCATTGCAGTAGTCCAAGCGGGAGATAACTAGAGCATGCACCACTCTGGCGAGACAGTCCGCAGGCAGGGAGGGTCTCATCCTGCGTACCAGATGGAGCTGGTAGACAGCTGCCCTGGACACAGAATGAACCTGCGCCTCCATGGACAGCCGTGAGTCCAGAATGACTCCCAGGCTGCACACCTGGTCATTCAGGGACACAGTTACCCCATTCAGAACCAGGGAGTCCTCCACACCCGCCCGCCCCCTGTCCCCCCAAAACAGTACTTCTGTTTTGTCAGGATTCAACCTCAATCTGTTAGCCACCATCCATCCTCCAACCGCCTCCAGGCACTGACACAGGACCTTCACCGCCTTCAAGGGTAGCCCCACGTAGAATACATTGGAGTAGTCTAGCTGAGACGTTGCCAAGGCCTGCACCACCGTGGCCAAGCCATCCCTGCCAAGGAACAGCCAAAGGTGGAAGGAAGCGCTCTTGGGAGACACTGAGAACCCCTGTGCCTCCGATGATGGTGACAGATCTAAGGCAAGAAACCCGCCAAGAAGAGTGCAACCTGCCACTCTCTGTCCCCCTCAAAATGGCTTCTGTCCCTTCAGAATGTACCTTTGGCTTATCAGCTCTGTCTGGGGCTGGCTGAGGCTGATGGGAATTGTGGTCCAAAACATCTCAGGGGCACCAGGTTGGGCAATGCTGATGCAGCACACACATTCACACATGGGCACCTGAATCTGCATGTTGTGAACTGCCCTGTGTTCTTTGGATGGAAGGCAGTAGACAAATCTATTAAACAACAACAATAATACACCTGTACGCAGGATGAGACCCTCCCTGCCCGCAGACTGTCTCACCAGAGTGGTTCATGCTCTAGTTATCTCCCGCTTGGACTATTGCAATGCGCTCTACATGGGGCTACCTTTGAAGGTGACCCGGAAACTACAACTAATCCAGAATGCGGCAGCTAGACTGGGGACTGGGAGCGGCCGCCGAGACCACATAACACCGGTCTAGAAAGATCTTCATTGGCTCCCAGTACGTTTCCGAGCACAATTCAAAGTGTTGGTGCTGACCTTTAAAGCCCTAAATGGCCCATTCTACCTGAAGGAGCATCTCCACCTCCATCGTTCTACCCGGACACTGAGGTCCAGCCCCGAGGGCCATCTGGCGGTTCCCTCGCTACGAGAAGCCAAGTTACAGGGAACCAGGCAGAGGGCCTTCTCGGTGGTGGCGCCCGCCCTGTGGATGTCAAAGAGAACAACTACCAGACTTTTAGAAGACATCTGAAGTCAGCCCTGTTTAGGGAAGCTTTTAATGTTTGATGCATTACTGTATTTTAATATTTTGTTGGAAGCTCCCCAGAGTGGCTGGGGAAGCCCAGCCAGATGGGCGGGGTATAAATAATAACTTATTATTATTATTATTATTATTATTATTATTATTCCCTAGTTTAAAAGCATAACACAAAAGCTTAGTGTGTAGTCATAGCGGCTATATGTATGGGTGTAACTGACCTACCCACTTGATAATAAACCTGCCTTAAGCAAGGCTCTGTTAAATTTAATGTCTTCTCGCTGCTGGTTCTATGACTGTAATAAGCTGGTTGATTGACTGCCTTGTAATTGGTCATTATACTTTGCAAACTGCTTAGAGGTCTATTAAATTGGTATACACCTTTATTATACACACAGACACACATCTCAGCCTTCCCTATCTTCAACATGGGAGACAAATTATACTGTCCTACCCGACAAGGCTGTTGTATGTATTAGAACAATACAATGTGTGCGTGGGAGGTTTTTAAACCCAGGTTTGGATGGCCAAGGCTTCTCCAGCTGCGAATGCCATCGGATGGAGATTCTTTTAGCTGTGATTCCTGCATTATTGAAGGGGGTGGGACTGGATGGCCTTTGGGGACCCCTTCCAGCTGTACAGTGCTATGTCCCCAGATCTTCAGGTTCACAGGTCTTCTCCATCGATGACGGGAAACCTGTGTCCCTCCAGATCATCACAGAATGGAAGAGTTGGAAGGGACCCCAAGGCTCATCTAATCTAGCTCTCTGCAATGAATCGAACCCTCTGCAAATGGATCGAACCCGCAACCCTGGCATCATCAGCACCTATAAATAGGGTTGCCATATGTCCTCTTTTCCCAGGATGCGTCCTCTTTTCCACGCGCAGAGTCTACCCTCTAGTCTCTGCTTCTCAATTTGTATTGTATTGTTTTATGTACTGTGACTTCCCATTGTTTTATTGATTATAGTTTAGATATTATTTATTGTAACTGTTGGGTGGATTTCTGTTTAACTTTTATATGTTGACATTATTATTTTATACTATTCTAATGATTGCTGAATGTTACTTTTTTAATGTAGGTTGCCTATTTTAAAGTTATGCTTTATTATCACATTTTTTTGTATCACATTAGATTGTTGTACTATGTACACATTTTGTTTCTTCAGCTTGTAAACCGCCTTGAGTACTGTAAGATACGAAGACGGTATACAAATTAAAAATGATGATGATGATGATGATCCATAGTTAAAAGCTGAAGTTGCCAAATGCGTCCTCTTTTTCGCTTTTTGCAAAATATGGCAACCCTATTAAAAGACGAGCAGTAAAAAAATGAAACATCTGTCCAAGCGGAAAAGCGCCACGCCACGCCACTCCCCACCCCAAACCTCCTCCCCATCCATGTTAAATTATTTTTGTATGCCACAACTGCTGCACGTATTTTATTAGCTAAAAAGTGGAAAACCCAGGAATTACCAACGATAGAAGAATGGCAGATAAATATGATGGATTTTTCAGAGCTAGCCAACCTAACCGGAAGAGTCCGCGACCAGAAGGAGGAGGAGGATCATTTAACATCTTTCTTGGGCAATTCCAAACCTGTTATTCCCAGGAGAAAGGCCTCTGGTTTCTTTATAAATGTATATTTCAACATTTTTTTCAATTCATTATAAATCTTTTCCCAGGAAGAGTGGATTAAATGTAATGATTACATCGTTAAATATGTTAAGTTAAATTAACTGAAAACAGCTTGCAGATACTTAATTGGCTCAGGATTTTATTTATGTTAAGCGTCGAATTAATATGTTTAATTTCATCATGTGAAGATCTAAGGATGTCAATGTTTAAGTTAAATCTTATAAGAACTGTGATTTGGAAAACCGTTAAAAGGATCTGCAATGAAATTCAACCAAGGGGAAGCAAGGAAGTCACTAACAATGTTAACAAGTGTAATTTTCAATAAGGCTCTGATTTATGTTTGTTTGTCTTGTGTGTTTGTTTGTTTATAACGTTGTGAAAACCAATAAAAAAAAATTGGAAAAAAAATTATTATTATTATTATTTTAAGTCCCCATCGGGGGCGCGCTCCCGTCTTCCCCCCGCCTCCGATCGCCCTTTTAAGGCGCCCCCTCCGCCGCGCCCCTTTTAAGACGGGGCCGGAGCGGTGCATTGTGGAAACGCGGCTCGGGGGGGAGGAGGCGGAGTGGAATTTCGGAATGAAATGTAGCAAAGGGGGGAGAAAGTGAGAGGGAAGAAAAAGAGGAAGTGAGGGGCGGGGGCGGCAACATTGTAACCACATCAAAGAGGGCGCGCGCGGGAGGGAGGGAGGGAGGCGAGGCTGGCGCGGGAGCGCGCGCGCGTGCCCGCGCCCCTCTCTCCTCCTCCGCCTCCCCTCCCTCTTTCTCCGCCTCCCCTCCTTCTCTGGCGAGGCAGGATCGGGACCATGAACCCCCGGCGGGGGCGGCGGGCCGGGCCGAGGTAGCCGCGGGCCGGAGGAAGGAAAGCGGGGAGCGGCGGCGGATGGGGACCGGAGCGGACGCTGCTGCTGCGGCGCCGGTGGCTCCCGGTGCTGCTGCTGTCTGAGCCTGGAGCTCCGGCCGCGACGGCAGCCTCCTCTCCGGGTCTCCGGCCCGGCCTCCTGGCGGCCCCACCCCCGTCCCCACCCAGCCAGGTCTGGGCGAGCGGCAGCCCAGCGGAAGCGGCAGTCGGAGGAGCGGCGGCGCCGCGCACGGAGCCCGCAGACATGAGGTCGGTTAGTGCTACCTGCTGCCCGGGCGCGGCGGCGGCGGCGGAGGGAGGGAGGGAGAAGGGCGCCTTTGTTGTCTGGGCTGCGGGAGCCGGGATTTCGGGCGGGGGGGGGGCGCCGTCTGGGTTCCCCGTGGGCCTCCGCCCCGAGGAAGGAGCAAGCGGGGAAACGGGAGGCGGCACGCCGAGGCTGCTCCGAAGAAAGGAGCGCGGCGGCACCCGGGTCCCCGCCCTCCCGTCGAGGCTGCAACCGGCGCAGATTTTTTTTTCCTGGGGGGGGGACCTAAAACATTGGGGGTTGCTGTTTTGGGGGACCCGGAACATTGGGGGTTGCTGTTTTGGAGAACCTAGAAAATTGGGGGTTGCTGTTTTGGGGGACCTGGAACATTAGGGGGTTGCTGTTTGGGGGGACCCGGAACATTAGGGGGTTGCTGTTTTGGGGGAACCTAGAACATTGGGGTTGCTGTTTTGGGGGACCCCCTTCCCACATTACGCGGTTTTCCTGGTTCCTTTTGTAACCGCTTGGGAGAGAGGTGCACGTGGCAAAGATTACCACCCCCCCTCCAAAACACAGAAACTGTTAGAAGCTTCTTTTTAAAATGAGGGGGGGGGTCGTTTCTGCCCTCTGTTTGAAGCCCAATCGAGCGTGTTTTCCGGAAGTGGGGAAATGTTCCCCAAAAAGGAGGAGAGATTGGCACTCCCCCGCCCCCCACTTTGGAAGAGGCAAGAGATGATACAATCAACCCCCCCCCAAAAAAAATCCTGTTGTCGGAATGACTGTGGACACACGCAGGCCATGGGGTTGAATGGGGGCACCCCAAGTTGATGTCTGAATCCACGCCCTTCCGTGTGACTTCATCGCTCGCCCCCCCCCCGCTTGAGATAAGGGGGGAGACTTCCAGGACGGCAGCGGAGTTTGTTGGGGAGTTTCTACGGGGGGGAGGGAAACGAGCCACGCCCCAGGCAAGGGGGGAGCAGGAAGAGATAAGGATACTGTAGATTTGCCCCACAGCTGCCTCGTGTCCTCCATAAGTGGGGCGGGGGGGTGTTGTGAGGAATGCAATTTCTTTCCCAGGGGGTTGTGCATGCATTTCGCGTTGGGCTGGGAGTTTAAAGTTTTTGGGGGGCGGAGGGGGGCATTTCCTAGTTCTGCAATAGAGGACTGAAGGTCAGGATTTGGGGTGGGGGCTGCAAGGGGTCAAGTCGAAGCGGGGGGAGCGACACCTCTGATCTGTTGTGAGCGGAGAGGAACCTCAAAGGTTGGTTTCTGTGATCCGTGTATGCTACTTAGTTCCTGGCAGCCCCACACCTAAGGAACAAATAACCCCCCCCCCCCTTTAAGGACACAGGAAGTCGTTTTCTCCCAGGAGGGCATTCCTGAGAGGGGGTGGCTCCGCCCCTCTGATGGGACAGGGAGGGTGATCTTTCCTGGAGCCCAAGACCCTTCCCGAATTTGGGGTGCTGGTCCGGCGGGTCCCAGAGGTTCTGGCCAATGCTGGACATCCCATAAGCGGTCAGTCCTCTTCAACGGATCCTTGTCTGAAGATGACCGGACTGGCTTTATGTACCACTGCGCCCCCTTCTCAGGTATTGCAAGGGAGTGAGGGGCACCCCAAAGCTCGATCTCTCTTCCCCTTGTGATCCTGGCCCTGATCCTGCCCCCGTTGTGCCCCCTTCGCTCCTTTCCTCAAGTTGAGGGGGGGCACCAAAGACCCCCACCTCCCTCCACGTCTCTCTCAGTGAATGCAGGTTTGGAATTGTAAACCTATTTCAAGGCAGGCTATTTAAGTTTGTCCAGGCTCAAGCTGCCCCCAAATCTTAAGTCTTAAGTCTCAGGTAGGTCTTAAGCCCTCCCACTTCATTTTCTGTGTTCTGTGTCCTGTTTTGTGCTTCTGAGCACGTGCAGAGTGTTTTCCCCTGCTTCGTTGACGTAGTGTGATAATTTCTGAGCCTAACGGGGAGGGTTCTGAGGTCAAGAGGGGAGAGAGACAGGCAGCCCCCCTCTTTCAGAAATTAGGCTGACGAGGAGGCGCTGACGGTCAGTAGGCCTGCAGGAGTTCATCCTGAGTCGGCAGTTTTCGGAGATTCCTCCCCGGCTCCCATCCCCGAGTCACCAGATTATAGAATTATAGAACCGCAGAGTTGGAAAGTACCAGCCGTTCCAAACCAAGGGGAGAGGCGGTGTGGTGTAGTGGTTAGAGCAGTAGACTACAACTCCCATCATCCCTAACTCCCATCAGGGATGATGGGAATTGTAGTCCCAAAACAGCTGGAGACTCCAGTTTGGGGAAACACTGGTATTGGTGTGTCAGATCAGGGTTCGAACCCCCACTTGGCCACTGAGTGTCACCTTGGGGGGGGTCCATTCACTGCCTCCTAGCCTGACCTACCTCACAGGGTTGTTGTGGGGGTGAAATGAGGTTGGTGGAGGTTGAGCTCCTTGAAAAAGCTGGGGTATAAATGGCATTCTCCCCTCGCCTCCTTAATCCTGCGGAAAGCTGTGTCTGTGGCCCCGATCCCCTGAAAGCAAAAGGAAGTGAACGGTAGGATCAAGCGCGGGGCCCTGAGTTTAAAATCTATGATATGCCCTGGGATGGGAAGGAAGGGAGTTGTGGGTGGTTGTTGGCTAAGTTTTCCCCGGGGTAAGGTAAAGGGACCCCTGACCATTAGGTCCAGTCGTGGCCGACTCTGGGGTTGCGGCACTCATCTCGCTTTACTGGCCGAGGGAGCCGGCGTACAGCTTCCGGGTCATGTGGCCAGCAGGACTAAGCCGCTTCTGGCAAACCAGAGCAGCGCACGGAAACGCCGTTTACCTTCCCGCCGGAGCGGGACCTATTCATCTACTTGCACTTTGACGTGCTTTCGAACTGCTGGGTTGGCAGGAGCAGGGACTGAGCAACGGGAGCTCACCCCGTCGCGGGGATTCGAACCGCCGACCTTCTGATCGGCAAGTCCTAGGCTCTGTGGTTTAACCCACAGCGCCACCTGCGTCCCTTCCCCTGGGGTATACCCATTGAAATGGATGGACGTGGCTAAGCTAGGTCCATTCATTTGGGTAGGTTACACTGAGTGTTCATTTAAATGGGGAGCTCTGGGTGTCTCAAAGGGCACAGAGGAGGCTAAATTAATTTTAAGACTGTAAGCGCCTTGAGGCCAGAGACCTGCCGCCCTCACATAAGCCATAAAACGCCGTATTATGTCGACAGTGGGGTGCAGATTCCCTCATCAGTAGCTCCGGAGGGACCCCAAAAATATCGGCCAGATCCTCTTATATGCTGCCTTTTCTTAAAAAAAGGGGGACTGTGACCCCTGACCTGTGGGTCTGGTTATCTCAAGAGTGAATGACCTAGTCTGGCCTCCGGACATGTTTCCAGTGTCGGTCCTCCAGTTATCTCTAGTAGCCCACAAGGAAAAGTTGAACATCCTGGCAGCCGGTGTTTTCATGTAGGCTGCTGCTGTTGATGGAGGCTCCACTTCGCTGCTCTGGCTAAGAGTGGGCTGCAAACATGGGTCCAATCCCTTTTTAAATCTGCGTCTCGCAGCATTTGAGGTCAGTCGTGCGCTGCATGTTCTGAAACGGCCGCCCATTCATTTCCTTGGTTGACTCCTCACAGGGTGAGACGACTTTGAGTCACTACAGAATTGTCTCCTTATTCCATGATTAAGTTCCCTCGAGAGCCTTTGGTGTGTCGGACTTTGTCAAAAGCTCTTTTTGGGGGAAGTCCAAGCTTGCCATGTCTACCGCTGGGTTGTTCCTGTCTCTGCTCTTGACGGCACGCTCAAACAGCTCCGAAAGGTTATCGAGGTGGGACTTCCCTTTGATTCTTTCGCTGCGATTCCTGCATTATTTCATTGGGTTGGACTAGATGGCCCTTGGGGATCCCTTCCAGCTCTTAGCTTTACTCAGAATAGACCTTTCGAAATCGATGGACCTGACTCAGCCACGTTGATTTATTCTGATGGCTCTAAAACTTCATTCTCTGCCACCCCATGCCTGCCTTCTTTAGGCTAAATAACCCTTGTCTTTCAATAATCCATTTTAAACACAGAATTCCCCAACAATACGATACGATAATCTTCATTGTCATTGTCCCATACAGAACAACGAAATTGAAAAATCTACACAAGACATTCAAAAACCAACAAGCCTGCTACCCCAGCTATCCCAACCTGGTTAGCCCCCTAAAAACTCTGATACCCCATTTTAAAATATAATATACTCCCATAGAGACTCTTTACACTGCGTTTAAAACCAAAATCGCATTTGGGTAGAAACTGTTTCTCAGGCGGCTGGTCCTAGTCTTTATAACCCTGGACCTTCTTCCAGAAGGCAGAAGCTGAAAGAGATCATTTCCGGGGTGTGCACTATCCTGCGCTATCTCTGCAGCTTTCTTATGGCACCTCAAAGCGTAAATTTGATCCAGGGTGGGAAGAGTGCACCCAATTATTCTCTCCGCAGTCTTTACAACCCGGGACAGCATTGTTTTTTCCCCTGGCCGTGCAGCAACCTAGTGCCGTCTCCAGATGTGTTCTGGACTACAACTCCCACCATCCCTGGCTGATTTGCTGGGACTGATGGGAACTGTAGTCCGGAACAGCCCAACGGGGAGGTCTGTGTTAAGAGTAGCTGACCTGAGACTTCGTTCCCCTTCACTGCTGGGGTTGAACTGTCTGTCTTGCAAACTTCTGGGCAGGAACTTGATTTCACAGAGAAGTTGCGTGATGCGGAACGGTTTCAGATCTGCGTTCGTTGACTGTCGGGTATATACTGAGAAATCTTTGATGACTACATTTATATATTTCCCCCCTCCCCTGTCTCTTTCTTCTAAGGTGGTGTCCACCTCACTTAGTCCGCACAACAACCCTGCGGAGTAGGCTGGGCTGAGAGTCTGTGACTGAACCAAAGTCACACACCCAGCTGAGCAGGGATTCGAACCCAGCTCCCATCAGTGGCTCTCGACCTCCATCCTTGCGGTTAGCACAGGGGAGGGAGGTTTTTACTC